CGCTTTTTTGCCTTATATGTTTTAATGTGACGGTCATTAAAAAAACTTTGAAATGTCATTTTGTAATTTGCCTACCAAGTACCAACTATTTGCGTAGTCATTTGCCTAAGCCGAGTCTCAAGACGAGACCACTGAGACTGAAAACCGGTAAATCAGAATCAGTAAATCACAGTCCAACTGTACCGTAGTACATTAATAATAATAATGATACTTACAGAGCCTGTATGTGCTTTACTAGATTTTATCTTTTTTATTTTCTTATAAATTCCAACCTTGTGCCACTCCCTTTCCCATTCTGCAAGACATAAGCTGCTCAAAATTGCAAGAACATCTGCGGAATTTCGAACAAACTGGACAGGATATAGATTTACAGGCCACTTCTAAGTTTTCACAATAATTTATCAGTAATCTGACAGGTATGAGTTTTCTAGGGACATTACCAAAGATCCTGATGGGAAAAGCATTTGTTCTGGACTTCAGACCTATTTATTTATGGGTCTACTGCAGGCCTGTCCATTTCTGTACATCCGTAATTAGGCAAAAATTCTGTAGAACTACCGAAGTACTTTAAAAGTCTGACTTCCATTTTTCTTGATTTGACCTTGACCATGATTTGTTACACGATGAATGATTCTCAGCTTTTTTAAGTCATGAGAAAAAAAATTATGAATAAATTAGAATTAGAAGGCAAGCAGCTTCACCACCAAACCATTCAACTTGACTCATTTTTTACCCAAGCAAATTGACGTTTTGGAATTATGGTCAGTCAGTTTGTGAGATGTTAGGTCAATTTGGGCAACACTGATGTTATTTGAGTATTAATTTAAGTATTTATTTGAAAGTGTGAGTTTACTGTGGCTTAATTATTGTGCAATCACATTGATTTCTTCCTTTCTTTACAGTACTTGACTTTAAATAATACCAGTCACATATTCAACTAAAGGATGAGCTAAGATGTGATGCTATAACTCAGAAAGGCATCTAGAGGCAAATTATTGAGGCAGAGTTGAAAAGGGAGCTAGGTAGTCTTTCAAACAAACCACTTAGGTAAGTTATTTAAGTGTAAAGGGAAGTTTGTCCACACCTATTAGATTGGCTGCTCTGTAATTTACCATTATTGTGCTACTCATGCCGTTCCTAAAAAAGATAAAATGCATATTGTGTGCAAGTCTCCGATACATACACATACCTGTACATACCTCACCGTATCTGTTTCAACGGTTGCATAATAGACACAATTGGCGACTAAGAAACATTAGTTGTCTTGTGATGTATAGTGGGTTTAACTTGCACTATGATCAGTGTGAAAATATAGGAAAGGTTATGTTGTGGTTATAAAAACAAGGAAAGGCAATTACGATTGTTCAAAATAGTGTTTATGTTATTCCAGCATTCTCTTGCATTTTAGGCTTTTGAATATAAATGATTCTTGATTGAACTTTGAACTAACCCAGAAATATAGCTTGTCCCACTTACAGTTTGTGGATCAAAAACTCCTGCATACATGAGCAGGTAGTAGATATGCAGGGGCCTAGACTGACATTTCACGAAAATCTCAATATTTGGGGCCACTATCTTTTTGGTCATTAGCAAACCATTATGGCAGTATTCTCAAGTTTAATTTCCAATAAATTTGGTATAATTTTCTGGTATTCCAACCAAAATTATTCAACAAAACCATGTGCCTTACAACAGAAAACTGCAATGAAATCGTGCATTTTCCTACTACCAAGCGTCACTGGTGCTGTCTCTTTAAATTTTCAATTCAATTCAATTAACATTTTTTTTATTCCTTTTCCAGTTGAAATACAAGCAATTTTAGAATAAAAAATCAAAACAATTTGTGGAAAAGGGAAAGGCATAGACCCAGTAAGATAAAAACTCTTGTGGAGCGTCAGCCTGAAACAATACGACAAGGGGACACAAAAACAAGCACAAAGAAAGAGGACACAACCCAGGACAAAGAAGACACAACCCAGGGCAAAGAAGACACAACCCAGGGCAAAGAAGACACAACCTAAAAAAGAAAGCAAACAATTCAAATTATACCAAGAAACCGAACACAATTAAAGTGAAAAGTAAGAGGATAAAAAGGACCAATATTTACTTAAGTTTAATAACTAGATATAAGGTTTTTCTTTAGCTGGATTGAAAATGATCTTTATTAATGGCATCGGCAACTGAGGGAGGTAAGGAATTCCATAGTTTAGTTCCAATAAATCTAATATTATGTTGGAAATAATTTGTCTTATGATTTGGAATCTAAACATCAGATCTACATCCAGTGCAATAATTGTGAAGAGAGGAATTGAGTTTGCAAATATCACAGAAATACTTTGGTAAAATGGAGTAAGATGATGCATACATGAAAATACCTTGTTGGAATTTTGTATCCATTGAAGGTCACTTGATCCAACATTGTGTCTATTACCATTACTATCAGGATCCTCTGCAACAATTTTGATTGGGAAAGTGCTGGAGAGAATTTTCCCTATAAAAAGACTCACCGCACATTCTCGGCTGCATCAACAACAAATTGATTACCCAAATGCTTTGTTGACATGCGTAATTTTTTTATGTAAAAATAAATAGTAAAACAATATCATGCAAGAACCATTCTCCTTGCTTATATTTATAAAAAAGTCAAAGTCATTTCAGATGACCAAATCTATCAACCGTAGTTTTGGAATTGTTTCTGATGATATCACTGCCCTCCTGCTCCGGTTCCCCCCCTCAAATGTCAGTTCCGTTTAATTGTTCCCCCCTCAAATGTCAGTTCCGTTTAATTACCGTATCTTGAAAATAATACGGAAATCAATTTTGTATTGTAAATTTTACTGTATTGTGAAAATTTGTGAAGCTCATCAGTTTAATTGAAGTTATTCATTTCCTTTCAGAAGTGTTAAACACCAAGAAAGATGAATGAGTCAGGTAAAATATAAACAAAAATTGTTGACAATTATAAACCTACACAGTAATATATGGCTATTATATTCCTGTAGTACCTTCCACTATTACTCATTGGGAAAGTGTAGAATTCAACACAATGTGTAACCTCCTTCCTCCCTGGGGAGCATTCCTTGTCAAACCTGGGTATTCAGCATGTAGATAAAATAAATTTAACTTATTAGTACAGATACCGTCACATGACGTATCCAGCGGGAGTAGCCAGGGTGCCTGAGCACCCATGGTTTGTTCAAAAAAAGAATTAATAAGTTAATTGAATTAAATGCAAACTAAGTACTTTATACAAGCATTAATTTGGCAAGAAATGCATATTATCTGAACAAAATTCTATTTTATTTATACGTCTCTTTTACTAGTCAATTTTTGTGCATTTATCTTTCATAGCATTCATAATTAGAATGTAATACTACTCAGCAACCCCCTTGGATACACCACTGCAGATATCTATTATATCCTCACAGCTACAGAAATTTATTGTAATAAATAAAGTGACTGAAAATGTAGTTCTTTTGGAGTTGTCTAGACAGTAGGCCTGAACCAATATTACTTATCATTATTCATTATATTATTACTTATTATTATGTCTATTACAAATGTTCTTTATTAGTACAGTATTGAATTTTTTGCTAAGCTTATCTTTAGTTTTTATGTATTTGTGCTGTGCTTTACTGTAGGTGATGTTAATGTTCTAATTTCTAATTTCTTTTTTTAACAGGTAGTGAATTAGATTCTACATCAAAAAGAAAGAAGGATTATTTACTCGATTTTACTAATAATGTAGAAAATACATATAATTTTTTTTTCTCGCCGACAAATTTTGGGTGGAGGCCCCGCTTGGACAAATTGTACTTTTTCTCCCAGACAGATGGCCCCCCCCCCCCACCATTAGCGCCACCCCTGAATTGACTACTGCCTGGAAAAGGCAAAAAGAATTCTGCCTTATCATAGATCTAACCATTAAAAAATAAATATTGTGTAATTTATTTATTTATTTATTTTTAGGAATCTCTGATAATGAATTCAGAGAAATATTATCGTCCATGTCAGGATGGTATGATTGCCATGGATACTTCGCTATGCTGAAGGTTTTGTATAGAGATCTTGTAACTGAACCTGATAAGCTATATGCTGCCACCAACGTGATTGAATTGTTTGAATTATTATGTGCCTCTGGACATCTGAGTCCCACAGATCCAACAGTACTGTACGATATTATCAATGTCACTAAGCCATTTGGCTTGGAACCAGAAATAAGTAAGTTGACAGTGAAGACATCTTTTGATATCAGGACAGTCATCACATCAAGATTTACAGCTAACAGGCGAAGTCTGATGAAGGTTGTAGAGAGTCTCTCTGACAATGATGTGAAGAAGATCTCAAAACTCTATGGCTGTGAACAAAAGGCTGACAAATGGGAATTATTTGTGGACTTGGAGCATAGAGGAATGATATGTGAAGAAAACATGGATGAGTTTATGAGAAATGTAACAACATATCTCATTATTGAATCAAATAATGACCCTATAGGACTGAGGAGGACTGTCAAAGGTAACAACAAGGATTCTATAAAAGAATCTGCAAGAAGATCTACAGGTAATTAATTGTTAATTTGAATCTTGTCATTAAAATCTCATTATATCTTTGTTAGTATTTGTCATATTTATCTCAACTTTATTGATTTTTTGATTGTCATCAATTCAGGTTTAAACAAATCTATACAAAGTCCCCTCACAATTAAATACAAATCCTAGAATTGTATATAGGTCAACTACAAGTAAATTACATGAATGTATAAAAAATGTTTAGCTTCCACAGTTTGTTTTAAAAGTGGCAATTAAAAAAAATATATACTATCTCAAAATCAAATTCAAATGTTCTTTATTGACAATTGAAGAGTAACAACTTTTCATAAATCAATACAAGAAAAGGCACAACGCACATCCCAATTTAACTTAAAAATCTAAAGGTTGGGATGTAATACAATTCATATATAAATAAAAAGAAATAAATGCTTTTAATACATGATAAAATTTACGATTAAAAATTATAAAATCCATTTATCCATAATAAGATGTCAACAAAAACGAAGCCTAACAGGGATTAAAAAAATGATTTACAATTAATTAGAAGTTAAAAATTTCAAAAATACGTTTTTTTCAAGTTTATAATTTTATTATTCTAAGCAATTTTTATGTATAGGCCTATATACCTAATGTAAATTAAAATGTTATTGTATATTGATATTTAAATTCCATTTATAATTCTACATGATTAGAATTAGGATTGTTATTAGATTATTTATTTATAGTTTAATATTATTTCTTCAGCTTAAATTTTTCTGTACAATTTTAACAAAATTACTTACAGTGGTGTATGAGAATCTTCAAAAACTGTAGTAACAATTATTAAATCAAATTTCCTTAAAGAAAAACAAATGAGAACAAGAAAAGTCACAGCAGACATCACAAAACCAAATTAAAAATAATACATTATTTCAGTCCATAAAGACTCCAAAGTTAATAAATACATTTTTTTGCTGCTGCATCTGTTTATAACAGATAACCAAGGAGAGCTAAACTTGACTGGTAACACACTGAGTGGTGACGCAGGCACAGGTGACACGGAAGCTGGCCCAAGTACATCTACAGGTAAGAATGTCACTTAGAATGACAATATTAATTTACATATTCTGTAACCATTGTGTGCCATTTTGTCTGGAAGGATTGGCCCCCTTGTTTTTGTTAGACTCAGAGTACTAACTAGGTGACAAAGCAATGCAGAGTTGTGTATGTGTACTCAACAAGATGGCCGTCGTAGAATAGCGCCACATTCATGCTTAGTATCATACATGTTACAACCATAAATAAGACTGCCAACTATTATTTCTTTAATCATTATTATTAATAATATTGATGCATATTAAACTAGCCTACTCAAAATGAAGCCAAGTAGAGTACCTGGTTTAAAATATAGTACTGTACTGAGGAACAGAAATCAAAATCGTATATGGTACACCGCAACGCTCAAGTTTCGACATTTGGGTAACTAAGCTGTACTAAAAACTTTTATAATAATAATAATAATAGATGGATTTATATAGCGCAGATAAATGAGGTCTTTATGTACTCGGGACTAGATGTTGCACTTTTCAATAGCTTTCTCCTCCCCTGAGGGTCACTTCATGTCCACCGCAGCCATTAAACTGGCGCACTGTCATCTGTCCATGACAGGGGCCGAGTGAACCAGTACACCGGAGTAACCCCCTACTCAACTCGAAAGATGTACTGGGCAAATGAGCAATTGTGTACACTGGGCCTACGGTTTATAGTCCTTATCCGAGAAAACTTGTTCTACCACCACCTGAGGGCACCATTGAAAATGATGCTTCCTATTTGCTGAATCTACGACAGCCATCTTAATGGCACACACGCAGCTTTGCATGTTTAGAACATTGAATGCATTGGAGTTAACCCTCTAATATTCTTATCATAACCTGTATAGTTAGACCATTACAAAAAAGTTTAGTCTGACCATCAAAAACCTCAAATACTGGCACATGAACTAAATTATGTCAACTGCTTTCTCATAATAATTATTTCATTTTAAAAGGCTTACTGTACATTGTTTGATTATGCCGGTGAAGGTGGCGCCCCAGGATAACCCTACGTATCTGTATCAGACCCATAATATTGTGACGTGAATAGTGGTGGACCAATTTGTTTCAAAAATAGATCTCAAATGCAATTTGGGCCTGCATTTTTATACCTTTTTAGGAAAAAAAGTAATTGTTAAAAAATGAAATTGGTGGTAGTTGGGTGACAAATTGTGTTCAAAAAATTTTTTTTTTCTAAAGTTAAAAATTTCTCTACATTTCTTCTGGTAAGTCCTCTGACAGTCAGTGAAGTTTTAGGGGTTAGGTAGGACAGTGTCTCTCCCCACAAAATGTCAGCCAGTATAACTTGTTTAGAAACTGAAATTTGCCAATAACATCAGTGAATTCAAAAAACGTCTTCTGTGTTGTCTGTGATGGTGAAATTAAGCAAATAGAAAAAAAACTTTGTTAAATTTATATTCTAGGTCCATGCTTTAGTTGTATTATTAATCCTATTTTCAATTTCAATAGGATAATTAGCATTTACCTCCTCAATTAAAGTTGTTTATCAAAATTGCAAGTCTAGAGCCCTCTTCTCGGCGGCCCCCACCAGTGTTTAAGTGAATTATTTTTTGTTTGGTAGCAGATCAGTTGACAGTGGCCAGTGCTATTGAGAAGGCAATGCAAATTTCTCCAGGATTTACAGGTAAAGCATAGCTTTGTACAATACAATCACAGCAATTGGAAATATAGTGGCTTGTCTGTAATGAATAAAATAATATTTGTTGTCAATATGAATATGTTTGAACTATTTGTAGATTAATATGTTATTGATTTTGTAATGGCATTATACATAATTCAATACAGTATTTTGTATTACTAGTGAAGAAGAATTTAAGATTTTCAGACAAAAACATTTTCTTCAATTTTCAGTATTCCTTCCTAAATTGACAAAATTAGCAGTGAATCGTTGCATTTTTGTTTTTCAGACAATGTTTGCATGGTAAACAATATGGTTCAAAGCAGTAATGGTAATGTAACTAAAATTGAACTTAATTGAATATATACTGGGTATTTAATTTATTTTTTAGAAATTCTTATTATTACTTAGATTGTGGGAGGTGGGGTGCCATAGGCTAAATCCCTCGCTTGAGTTCTAAGGCAAGGCATTTTACATGGATGTCTCTCTCCACCCATGAGTACCAGTGGTTACCTGGTAGGTTCGAACACAAATGTGCTGATTAAAGCTACAACATTATTGAATTCTCTCCAGGGAGCTGAGTGTTCCATATGTGCTTGATCTAATGACCTCGAGGCCTTGTTGGCATTAAGTGGTATTTAAAATCAGACATAATTTGTAGAAGCCTCATTAGTGTGACAGTATTCCTTTACTGTATTTTGCTGCATGCGGTGATAACCTTTGCCTGATCTAGCTAGGAATGGTTATATTCACAAACACTAGCTAACGGTTAGCAGGATCCACATAAATAACATAAACGCTCACCCTTGCGTTCATACAAGAAAAGCCCCCAATCCAGATATCAGAAAGATGACGGTTATTACTTTTTTTTTTTGTTCACTTTAAGTTTGGGTCAACATGAGACAAGCTTAAACTGTACATAAGTTTATTTTCTTTGAATTATATACACCATTTTATTGGGTCTGTTTTGAAACAGCGCCACCAGTGTCTTGCAACTTTTCACTGTGAGACTTCCAGCAGTCTCCTAGTCTGAGCAGCAGCTGCCTAGTAGAATAGAGCACCGAGTATCGGAGTGCCGATAAGCCTTTCATACAACAGTAGCAAACAACAGATACGATCTTTTGCTAATTTACTGTACTGTATGTGAACAGTAAAATATCTTTTTAAGACTTGTTTTTAATATCAACATTTCATTCTTTTTCTGTTTTAAAAATATTTGTGCTCGTTAGTAATTTAGTTTCATCGTTTACTTAATCCATGATGGTAACTACGTAGAACGAAATGCTAGGCCTCTGGAAGTTCCCCAGTGGTAGTTGCCAGGTTCTAAGAAATTTTCTTTCAAATTTGGTAAAAATGGTGTATTTCTTATTTTTGAGCATTATGAAATGCATGTTACCACAATGAAAATTATTATTCGAAATGTTACAGAAATTATATTAGTATACAGTACTCATACAGAAATCAATCAATTTAAATACAAATATTTATTTATGTAAATATAATTCATTCTGTTATCATTTTGATTGCTTTTGATCCTTGGCTTGTCTGTAATTTGCCAGAACTATAAAATCGGAATTAAGCTTGAGTTAATTTGAATTTTGTTGTTGTTTAGGTACTACAATTGGATGTCAATTTGTCAACAGCAATATTACTGACTCAGTGATAAACATATTTAATAACACAATTCAATTACCTGCTACACAAGGTATCTATTTCACTTTATTTGAATTTATATGTGCTTGATATGAACTTAACTATGGAGTGCCATACGCAGCAAAAGTCTATGTTAAAATCAAAATGTAAATGCAAAATTTTCTAAACATAGGTCTAATTTCTCAAAATGTATGTGTAGTTTCCCAAAACGAAGTTCTAATTTTTCAAAACGTAGTTCAAATTTTCCAAAATGTAGTTCCAATTTCTTTAAAATGTAATTCAAGTTTCCAAAGGTAGGTCTGACATGATCAAACAAACTCGCCAAATTCTGTTCCAATATGTAAATCAAAAACCACCCAAGTATGACTGGTTTGATCTACATTTTACAATGACAACTAGACATGTGAAATGTAAATCAAAACTAGCCAGCCAAACATGACGGGGGCCCATTCCATTAATGATGGGGGAATCAATTTTCGCTGTGTCCAATGCCATGAAAAATACTGTAAAACCTTGAAAAGAAGCCCAATGGGCTTAATCTTGAAAAGAAACACATCTCGAATTGAAGCCCTATCTTTAGTTTGCAAAAGTAGCCTTAAAATAAAGCCCATCTTGAAAAGAAGGATGGGCTTCTTTGATAGCATGGAACTTTTTTCCATAGTACAATACATGAACTGTAGGCCTAAATGAATTTCAAAGAAAAAAAAAATTAAAAACATGCTTGGTTTATCCAGTAGTTTAGGTTATTACAGCTGGTTAATACACTCCATGATACCCATAGATGCTACTGTGGCCTTATTTAATTGTTTTATAGTGGAATTCCCCAAATTCACAGCATTCATTTTGAAAAGAAGCTCCCCCCCCCCCTCCTCCTTACTTTGCAAATGTAGCCTCGAAAAGAAGCCCATCCAAATTTGGCAAAAAAAAGAAGCCTGAAAATTTCGGGTATAATTACTACTATAAAACAATAAATAGAGCCACTGTCGTAACATCAATCTGTATCATGGAATGTATTAACCGGCATTAAGAAATCTAAATACTGTATAAGCCAAGTGTGTTTTTTATTTATTTTGTTATTTTGAAATTCATGTACAGTGTACTATTTCGAAAAATCCGATGTTATCTTTAAAAGAAGCCCATGGTAATTGGACTTCTATTCAAGGTGTTACGGTATTTTAGAATCCATTTTCAATTTTTTGGATGTAATCCTTTTTACTGTATATTTACTAATGCTAATTAGTGCCTCATAGCATACGATTTACAGTTGTTTACGATATTCTGTGCTGGAGTTTTCTTCTAGTCAATTAAGTCCGCAACCTATACTTTGTGGAAGTTGTGTCTTGCCTCTTTATTCAGTAATCATTTCACAACATCTAACCAATTGTAACTAGTCGATAGGATTTATTGCACATGCACACTTTTAATGGCAGTGATAACTACAATCATCCCCTCTATTTATTGTTGGAAGCATTATAGGATAGAATATTGGGGGAGGGGCAAGTTTACCAGATGGATTTCAACATGAGTAGTCACCCTCAATCTTATGTAACAAGAGTTATACCAGGTGATTTCACATCAAAACATTACAAATTAAATT